CACCTCAGAATCCGAAGGCTTGATCCAGGCGGGGAAGAGGTGTCGCTGGTCGGCCTGGTACCAAAGATACTGGTCAAGGTAGGCATCGCTGATCTTTTCTATCGGCTCTATGTCGTAAACAGGATTGATAGTGCTATAATTATCGTTCATGTCAATTTGCACTTCTTTGAAGGCTCGTTGCGTGAGCAGGAACCGCTTAATCCTCTCTAGAGTAGTACCCGGGCTGTCATAAGCTTGCTCAATCAAAGCTAACTCTTCTCGCTGGCTTTGGTTGAGGCGGCCTTTCACGGAGTACGCCTCTCGTAATCTTTCGAGAGCAAGGATTAATATTTTCGTATCGTGTTTGTACGATACACTTGGGAAGGGAATCGGGGTAAACTTTCGTGATTCAAGCCAGTGTACCGTGGTTGTGTAGATCGCCACGGCTTCCTCAGACGATACATAAGGTCCATCCTTCATGTAGTTATGTTGCCTCTCTTGTTCGGCCTTAAGCCAAAGACGTGTCAAACGACCTACGTTCTTCTTCGCGACCGTCTTATCGACAGTAGCACCTCGCCGGATACGCTCACGGTTGTAGTGAGCGACGGAAATCCACCAGTCTGCCTTCGACTTGACGTAGCGGAGAATGATATTTTCAATGGGTGCAGGTAAGCCGGGGACTTTCCATGGAATGTTACTCTTCCAACACCTCCAGGCTTCGGATAAGTGTTGAAGAACAGTGTTAACCTTATTCTGTTTGATACCCTCGGGCATCATGTCCATTAGATCGGCCATTACGGAGGCTCGGAGTTCAAGATCGAAGTGCGATTCAACGCGTTGCTTGGTCACGGTCTTGGCTACACCCTTACTGTGGCGTCCTTCGAATTGACGCGATAGCAAGTTTCCAAGCCACCGCTCAAGAAGAGGAATAATGCCTCGCATGAAGAAGAGCCAGACACGCCAGGCAGGCGCCCAGAAACCACACCCAGGGCCCTTACCAACGGGCCCGCTGTTGAACCGATAATAGATAAGATGCTTCAGATCTTTGCACGACCGGATCTGATGCATGAGCTTATACTTGTAACGGTACATACCAGTCAGCTGGCCAACGTGGTTGAAGGCGTAGAGAATACCATCCGCCAATTGGAAAGCATCAATGTTACCCAAACGATATTGTACCTGCGCGTCGACGATGAGCTTCGTCAGGCGTAATATTTCACGCATTAAATGGAAAGCATTTCCGAATCGCGACTTCTTTCGCTCCTTCGTCGTTAGTGTTTTCACGGGCTTAAGATTAAAGTTGTAATCTAGATGGAGGTATGTAAGATTCTTCCGGTGAATTAGGAGGTTCAGCATGTTAAATCCCTGCCGGCAAACTTGAAGACCAGCTTCAACCCAGTCAATCGTCGTCTGCTGGAAGAACTTGGTCTGCTTCAAGCTCTTCAAGAGACTTTGGCGATTGAGCGCCTTCGGCTTCTTCTTGTGAAGCTCGTTGAGGACGTACGTCTTGAGAAGCTTCTGATACGATACTCGGACTTTAACGGGCTGCTTCGGAGGACAGTGCTCGAGGTACCATTGCTTCACAAGCGGGACATCTTGCGCACGAACCATACGACCAGACCGACGATTGAATGGGAACGGAGCCCACCAGAGGGCAATAGCAGATGACGTGTCTTCGGTGTAGAGATCCTCATCGGCTAAGAAAGGCTCAACGCCGGCTGGCAGCTCGAAAGTTTCCTCTTCGGGCTCTTCGAGATTCCCGGCGCCAAATATCTCGTCCTCGTGGCTAATGGTGATGTTCTTCGGCGCAACCGAGCGGGAGGAGATGGGATTAATCATAGGGTCGAAATGGAATGCGGGTAGATTAGGGTCTTCAGACTTAGTGTACACGATTTGGGGGTGAGAGTACCAGTTAAACTGGACGCTTCGGGGAAGGGAGTTATAAAGGTAGGGATAGGCGACCCGGTACTCGGTTCGGATGGGAAAGCGGAAAATGATTCTGTCAATGGCGTTGAACTCCCCGAAGTCCTCATCGTTCGGATCAATATCCTTGTACAACGGTTCGAACCGAGGACCGCCGGGTAATGCAACATTTAACGCTTTGGCGGTAAGAAAACTCTTCAAATCAAAGAGGTAGAAATAGTTCTGGTCGACAATCTCACTTAGTAACGGGCGACTCAGTCGGTGAAGCGCTGCCATCTGCGGCAATGTGAGATTCCACTGCTTGTAACTCGGTCCATTGACGTGCTCGGTATCAACTAAGGGTCGATGGTCATAAAACCATTCATAAACGGCACCGTCTTCTTCCTCGTCGAGCTCCATCTGAATCGGTTCTAACGGTTCTACGTCCTCAATATTCTCCGACCAAGACAGCGGAGGTTCTTCGTCATCAAACGGCGGGAATCTCATCCTCTTGAAGAGTCTTCGATCACTCTTCTCCTTTCTCATGGTCAACCACATCGTGGCCCATTGCGCGTGGAATACGGGCGGAATAACTCGAGGAATCTCGTTTACGAGCGTGAGGCACCCGTTGACGTGGTATAACACCTTAACTTCCCTTGCCGATTCCCACGGCATAGGCATATTCTCCAGCAACTTCATGACCGCGTGCGGCATGAATTTTAGCGCACCAAGATAGCTTCGTTTGTCGCTGGTGTACTTTTTCTGAGAAACATCACCAATATCCTTCACGATCTTACGTAGATGCTCAGGAGGCATATCAGCCTTCTGGGTCTCCACGAAGCCTCCCTTACGCTTCTCGCCAAAGCGATTTCGCTGATTTCGAAGCCATTCCTTCTTCTTCTGCGCAAACTTCGCGGTCTGCAGGTCGGTTGGAGGCCGGTATCCAGGGGGGGGAGGAGCTGGAGCTCCAGGCGGTGGAGGAAGAAAATCTGATGGGGGACCTGGTGGAGGAGGAGGCGGCGGAGGAGGTCCCCATCCGGGAGGAGGTGGAGGAGGTTGGAAAGACGACATCTCCAAGTTGATGAATATCGAAATTACGCGACTTTTTTAGATGCTGTCGCTAACGCGGCGCGATCTATCGCGCGAGGATGCTAGGGACGCCAAATACAGCCAGACACAAGCGTTGGCTCCTAGCAATCCTGAAATGGGAAATTAAAGTTAAGGTCGTAGTCGGGCGCGTCGTCTCCCTGATTGACCGACGCGAAAAGAAGATTAAAGTTGTTAAAGTGATGGAATCCCTCAAAGGTTAAACTATGTAGGGGCAATTTTTCCTATGACCTTTTAGTCCCCACCCAGACTTTGGCAAGCCGGGGATTAGACTTGAAATGATTACATAACAAGCTTTATCGGCAGGTGGTCACGTGGATTGAACCAGGTGGCTTTTGGGGAGGCTAGTGCTTGTGGCTAAATCCGAATCCCCACATCATAATTTCAATTGGTTCAATCAGTAAGCGGGCTAAAGATCCATCCCACACATCTCTTCCGTAAAAAACACCAAAATTCATCCCTCACAAAAAAAAGTTGCAAAGGAAGAAGTCAAACCATTCCACCAGCAACATCAGTCAAAATGGCCAACAACCGAGTCACCTACCGCCGTCGCAACCCGTACGTCTCCCAATTCGATTAAAATATTCATAAAATCCGAATAATTCCTACTCCTAGGAACGCGCAAAGCTAACGTGTCGCTTAAAGGTACAACACCACCTCCAACAAGACCCGTGTCGTCAAGACTCCCGGTGGTCAGTTGCGAGCTCTTCACATCAAGAAGCGAGGAACAGCCCCGAAATGTGGTGACTGTGGTGTCAAGCTCCCCGGCGTAAGTAAATTCAGTTATTTTTGGTTATATTTTAGGGGGGAAACCGAGAAGGGAACCTAGGAATATTCGAATCAACACCGACTCCTGCGACAACAGCCATCATGTTTCTCTTCGGCTGAAACAATTCAGTATTACCAGCACAGGATCGAATTTGCGCAACTCTTTTCCACTTGAGACATAGATTCTACGTTCGACAAACAACCTACAAAGACCACCATTCGAACAAGCGCGAGTCTATCAAACCAATACTAACTATCCATATTAGGTTCCTGCCCTCCGACCCCGTGAATACTCTCAGATCTCCCACCCCAAGAAGACCGTCCAGCGAGCGTACGGTGGTTCAAGATGCGGTAACTGCGTGCGAGACAGGATCGTGCGCGCTTTCCTGATCGAAGAGCAGAAGATCGTCAAGAAGGTGCTGAAGGAGCAGAGCGAGGGTTCCAAGAAGAAATAAACTACCGAATGACTCTGGGATGGAATGGTTCGGCCTTCATTGATTTGGTGTTCAGAGGGACAGGGCTGCATGTCATGCGAACGGCTACCGAATAGCCCGTATCTGTTTCTAGGGCTTCTAGGGCTTCTTCTCATGGTCTAGATGATCGGAATGGTATAAACGACATCAGGACTACCACTGTTCATATCGTTCCTCACATCTGCTATGCTGTGACACGAATACTACGACTTAATGGACATAGGCTATTTTCTAGTCTAACTTGGATGGTGTTGTTGCAACTCTCGGGGCATGTCCGTATTACTTTACTGTGCTCTCCTTATGCTTCAGAGGTAGGGAGAACACATGCATCCTTCCCGAGTCGTAGTATTTCCAACACACAAGAGCTCTGTTACTCTAGTTTACTAGTAGTTCCTATTGCGAGACCGTGTGTGCCGCTCAACTTAATACGTAAATAATATTTTCTGAAGTTTCCAAAATAACCTGTCCATAAATAAGTATACCCTTTGAGATAAATATGAAAGGATACCATCGCTACTCGATGAGTTTAATATTTCTTCAAGTACTACTCTCAGATACGTTACAGAATATGTACCAAATTGGAGAGTTGCTTCTTTATACCTTCATTATAATTCAGCAAGATATCCTAGCTGGTATGAAAATTGAAGAACATCTAATATAGACTTATCCGAAACTATCACAATAGAGAATGAAGCAGGAACTAAAATAAACGTCTATCTACCAGTTACAATGCTACGATTTGTGCTTATGTATATATAACACAGTGTAAATTTCATAAACATATACTATACAAGCTTCTCCAAAATGATGACGTTCAACCCACCATCTTTTTTACGCAAGCTCTAGCTCCTCCGAATGAAAAAGAGAAAATTCCAAGTTGTTCAAGGAGTAGAGCGCGATGGAATTTCCTGCTAGAAGCTAGCAAAATTAATTACGGCCATGGTTTCTGCAACACGAGCTTGTCGGCCTTTGAATCGACTTACTGCGATTTTACGACAGCCGAGTCTTCAAAGCCGCTGGCCACTACCAACAGCAAATACCCTCCGTACTACAACGAGCCACAGAGTTTTCCCGTACACGACATCGCAGTTCCACACAACCGCATCGCGCCGTGCAGATGAGGAGCCGTCCCGTGCCGACCTTTCAGACCTAGATGTGCTAGGCAATACACCCGTGCCCTCCACTTCCGTAGACGTCTGCACGTCGAACGGCTTCCACCTCAACAGCGGCGCAAGAGTCACCGACGGCTCCGGCGTCCTCTTAATTAACGGCGAAGCCTTCACATGGCGCCCGTGGGCACCTCGCGGCGAGAAACGACTGCTGAATAAGAAGGGGCAATGGGAGGTGCCGAATGAAACCTTCGGATTGTTTGGATTGCTGTGGCCCCGACCAGGTAAGAGGCGAGGGAAATATAGTCATATGTTGGTGAGCTTGTTGCTGATCAGTAACCTATAGATTTATTAATACTGGGCCTCGGCCCGGATATCCGCCCCATGAGTCCGGAACTGAGGAGGCATATTAGCAGCTTGGGCATGAGGGTAGAGATTTTAGACACGCGGAATGCGGCTGCGCAGTACAACTTGCTGGCTACGGAGAGAGGGGTTAAGGATGTCGCGGCTGCGTTGATACCCATTGGCTGGAGAGAGGGCGTGGGCGCTGCTTGAGCGGTGTATATGGTCGTTCACCATAATTGTCACACCTATACGGTTCACTTAGACATAGAGGTGAGAGCACACATAAAGAATTATGCGGTTAGCAGTATCATCACTTCATATGATGATCTTATTCTATTACTAGTTATAGGTTGGACCGGTGCTTTAGTCTCATCCTAGGCTATAGCATTGCCCGTGTCTAAGGGATACGTAAAGGTGAAAGTCTAGCTAGCAGAGACTACATATGTACCCAGACAGGAGGTTGAGGCAAGAATGTACTATATTAGACCATGGGGCATGTATATTATACGAAAACTCAAATGCGACTCGGATGTACGCGTTAGCACGACTTGAGTCGGGAGACAGGTTTAAGTAAATCGTCAACGCTGTTGCTTCTCGATACACTTAGAAAACCCAATAATTACTGTACAACCAACCATATTCTATTTGAATATGAATATTAAGAAAACTCATATGGAATTTTGTTAATTGTACCATTATTTTGTGTGAAGATGATTCAGACGAATAGCTCGTCGCCGTCTTGACGAAAAAGTCGGGGAGTACTAAAAATTTTAAGCTTGAGTCATTTAATATTCTAGAAGAGCACAGCTTTCAAATCTAATCCACAAATACCTCTTTTCGTCTCATCTAAGCCAAACCTGGACTTACTAATAGTAGATATTTAATCAATCCTAGCTCAGCCTTGCATATTGTGGCTGATCTAGCAATTCCTTAAAGTTCTAATTGGTCAATGGCGACAGTCCAATGACAGCCTTCTTGGGGAACACGTTGAGGCGCTATGACGATTCAGTGGCTGAAGGGGAATATCGAGTTCTCGTCCGATATAATTGGTCTTGGCTCTTCGGGTGGTAAAAGCTAAAAGTTTAGCTTAGCTTCAAAGGTAAAAGGTATTCCGTACCGTATCAGTCGGATCACTTCAATGTTCCATCGAATCGCTCACAAGGTTCACATGTATGCTGTACAACTATAACCAAACGGGCGATATCTTATTATTAGATTTCGCAGTTATCTGACAATTAATGGTTTTTTATTTGTCTCGCATCGCACCACCGTATATATATTTCTCCAAGGGGGCCGGCGTCGTTATCTTACTTTTATTATCTTCTTTGTTGGTTGCAGCCCAACGAGTGAATCATCTCAAGACGATATTGCGATCCATCGTGGAAACATTAAAATATTGCATGAGTCGCATGCGATTTCCTCTCTCCTAGAGTAGAGGGAGGGACTGATAAACTTGGATCATCACTTACAACATACATACGATACCCTCAAGCATTACTTACAGTATTTACAGTACGCACTAAAGTCGTGGTTTCCTATTATTTCCTACGTGCTCATCGTTTTGACCGCAGAAACTTTTAAGTGGTAAGTCATATTCGCGTACCTATTCAATCTCCTTACGTCTCTCCCTAAAATGGTGCGCGACTCGGTCAAGGTCCACCACTATTGCCACTTTAAGCGCATCGCGTCTTCCATTAATAATTGCTTCATCTCGTACATTTTCATTATCGCAGGATTGAGTTGTTCCCAATGACTTATTCCCACGCAGCCCACGCAGCCCACGCTTTCGTCCGAGACGGGCGAAACGCCCCCGGCCTCATTTTCATCTTAGTGGGGAGTGCATGGTTTCTGTATCTACGAAATCGAATGGCCAAGACCCGGGCCAACGGGGCCGAATCGAAAGATGCGAACGCCACAGACCCCCCGCTGCTCCGGAATCACTCTAAGATAGCCTCATATACTGCACACCGGAGCGGTATAACTTACCCCGGCATTCGTGTTTTCTATCGACGTCATCCCAAAGCGGATGAGCTCCCTCGGCATCCAGCTCCGTTACCTCTCGTGGTATTTATTCACGGCCTTGGAGGTTGCATCGCCCAATTCCACCCCCTTCTCACCAGTCTCGTCAACTCCGCATCTTGCCTGGCTGTAGATCTACCCGGATGTGGTCTATCCCAGTTTGCCCCAAAATCATGGAATGCGTACACAACAGATGCACTGACCGACTTACTCGAGACCGTCATCGATGGCTATCGAGAGAAGGACCAAGGGCTTGTCCTAATCGCCCATAGCATGGGGACCGCAATTGCGGCAAGAATTGCTAACAAGCAGTCGGCCTTCTACTTACGGCCTCCTTCCCACGTGATGGGACTAATCGCAGTATGCCCCGTGTCCGGACCACCACCGCCGCGAGCTGTGCGTAACATTCGCATGCTACTCTCGCTTCCTGATTGCATCTTCAACCTCTGGCGGGCTTGGGATAGATGGGGCGGCCCCGAGAGTGCCAGCGTTAAGCGTTTCGTCGGCCCCAAGGCAGATCTCGAGGCGCGGCAGCTTCAAGACAAATTTAATACTATGAGTCGGACTCCGGTGTTCCGTCGAATGGCATGGGGCGCATTGCCGACATATTCTAAAGACGGTAAAATCGTCGGGGGTTTGTTTGGCGAACCCACTTGGGCCGGCCTTGATATTCCGGTCTACCTTATTGGTGGCGACTATGATACCGTCACGCCGCCCACAGAAATAGAAAAGATTCGCAGCCTTCTCGAATCAGCAACCTCCGAAGGTAGTTCCCCTGATGATCTATCTAACACTAGCGAGGTGGGTGCAATTGTGGACGCCGCAGCCCCAGTGAACACTACATCGGCACCACGAGCACACATACCGGAATCGATCGAGGCAATTACCGACGATGATTTTACACGGAAACAGCAGCAGACGTCAAACGTAGAAGAGCATTATGAAGACCCTACTACGCCTAGGGATCAAGACACCATTGGCGGTATTCCTCCACAGCCCCAGCACCCGGCCAAGATTGTTAAAGTCACATTGTTGCCAGCTGGACACGCTATGCTTTACATGCCAACCACGGTTCGCACTTTAGCAGGGCTAATAGGCGACTTTATGAATGATCACATCACCGGTCGATTTTCGCTGTAGGTTTGCTCTTTACATCAGTCTAATATTCTCACCCACTTAACTTATCACGAATAGGGGGTGGCAACTACAATATCTCTCGCGCGACGGCAAGTGGGACGTTAAAAATCTTGCCAAGTGGAAAAGCGTCCAACCCGTTTCTAAGCCCATTGGAGGAATCTTTCGCGCAATGAAGACACTCCGCGAGGTCGACGAAGAGCATTCCCCTAAAGTCTTCACGGCTAAATGGTAAGTATCGCAAACTATGACAGATGGATTCTTATTAACTCTCTTCAGGGGCCACATAATTAAAGATATTATTGATATAAGTCATGCGGATCCGGTGTACGACCCCAAAGGTTTCGGAGAAGGGATCAGGTACCACAAGTTCCCGACAGTATCTAAAATCCCACCGACAGACGCGGAGGTGGCCAGTTTTATCAAATTGGTGGACCAGATCCGAGCGGAACAAGCGGAGCGTGCGGCGAATGAGCAGACATTTATCGGCGTCCATTGTCACTACGGATTCAATCGTACCGGCTACTTCGTCGTGTGTTATCTCGTCGAACGTTGCGGATACGGAGTCCAGCAGGCCATCGAAGAGTTCGCGGTTAAACGGCCAAATGGTATCAGACATTCCCACTTTCTCGATCGCTTGTACGTTCGCTACGCTCCCGCCATGCGGAAGTGATGGCATGGATTTATCTCATCGCATCTCTGGGTCTAGCAGGCACTCTTCTTCATTGGAGTTGGTTCGTTTGGTATTTGAGGATATTTTAAGGCTCGGGTTTAGAACTAGGAACTACGGATATCAGTGTTAGGGTGAGGGTTTACTACTATACCTTTTTATCTTTTCTCCTTCTTTCTCAGAGCCCACCCTGTACGACTACCGGAGTGTTTTTATCGGGGATTTATTTGTTAGGCTATACGTGTGAGGCTATGAATTGGAAGGTAAAGAGATGGATGTGCCTACAGCGGATGGTGTAGATTCCAGTTGCGACAAGTGTGAATACCAGCAACATAGTGTAGGTACCTACCTAATTAAGTCTCCTTGGCCGTAGTTTATTACAATGCGGGCCAAATTAATTCTAGTCGTTCCTAAAGATTGTCCTACCTTATTATTTTCGTTTTAGAGATGCGAGATAGAAAATACCTGTCACATCACTTTACATATTTAGACTTGCTTATGGTTCATGCGCCAAAGAAAGCGCTGCTTATTATTTTGCCATAGACTAAAACAGAGGGGTATCATAAAGTGATTAAACCTACACGATGCAATGAGATTCCAGAAGGAACCATTGTGTCCTCTCCGGGAAATCCAACCTGAGAGTAATGCGGAAAGCCTACTCAGGGGTAAATACCCCCCACTTCCCCCCCCTTTATCTTTCTTCTTATCGCATCATCCTAATGTCTCCCCACGGGTAGGTCAAGTCTCGCAATACTGGACACCGTTTATGTACTTGCGGATGACCTGATCGAAGCTAACAGCAGAGTACGATATGTGAGCGTTTTCCTTCAGAGCCCGTATTCCGAAAGCGACACTCGATGCGTCACCGAAGCCTTAGCCCGATTTCTCGCCAGTGCCGAGACGCTCTAAAATATTCCGGATTTGAGGTTACGCGACTCCTTCATGTAGTTAGAGGACTTTCATTCTCGTGGAAACCAGTATACGGATGTTTGGGCGTCTCGCCCGGCCAGGTGGCAGGAACGCCGGGGATGCGTAAGAGGGTGGTAGGAAGCAGCGGTGTGCTCTCGGATTGAGTCTGGATAGAGCGCGTCTGGGAGCAGGGGATACGGCTGGCGCCTGCTTGGATAGACGAAGGGGCTATTTTTTCCGACGTGGATATTTCCCGGCTGCCCGTCACGATCGTAGCAGTTTCTGGTGCAGCGCCGGTCTCTCCGACATTGCGTGGGCCCTGGGAGTTGCTGGCTGCTTGCCGGCTCTCACTGCTTGGGGGCGCATGAGGTGGTGTGTAGAGAGCAGGATTGGGCTGCTCCCATGCGACCCACGAGGTAGATCTGTGCTGATACGCCTGGGGAGCCTGGGGGATAGTTAGTAGCTGCGCTAATAGAAGGACTTGGATGTTGATATGGGCTTACTAGAATAGTGGTAACGAGTCGCCAACCGCGTTGGCGGGGGGTAAGAGTCGCGATGCTCATTGTGCTAGGTTAGTAGATATAGGTTATTGATGGTGATGTGAAAGAGCAACCGAGGAATTAAAATACGGATTGATATATTATGAACATACGGCCCTCCTTTGAAATCCCGAGATACACGTAGAAGATGCTGGGCGTGTTTGCTTTAAAGGAGGAGGCAGAATCAACAATCAACTCGGTGGAAACTTTAAATATTTACCAGTGAAGAAGAATTGGCTACTAGAGGTACGTAAGTTATCGACATGCATCGTCGAGATACGACATGGAATACATGTAATAGACGAACAAATGCGTGGCAACCTAGAAGTCTTATAGCGAGTGGGTTCATGTCTCCTGTGAGACCATTGTGTTACCATATCCATGGTGTTATTATTGTAAAAGCCTAGGCGCTATAGTACGTTTAAACAAACCCGTGGATGTCCCTCGGGCATAAAAGCATTGTATGGTTGTTAAACTACTTTTCTTTGTTCCTAAACTAAACAAGCGATACGAATATCCCCCAATTGCTCATCCGAGATAGCTCGTAAACTGATAGGTAAGAGCAGCTAGTTACCTAATTTATGTTAAGTTTAAACGATAAAGCTTTAAGACATCGATGTTGGCCATAGACTCTTCTAAAAGTCTTGCCGTAGAGAGGGAAATCTTGTGATCGTTATCAGTTGTATAAAGACTTCAAGACCGATGAGCAGAACATTGTCCTGTAACAGTATAAGCGAAGGTATAAGTTTTCAATGGGCTCTCTTTCCAAAATCCAGCTTCATGTAAGGTTCGATGGTGCTTGTAAAGGGCCGAAAGTTCTTTACACAACTATATTAAAGCATGAAGAACTATGAAATTAGGGAAGTTTCTCGGAGATCAAGCAGTTCTTTCACTTGCTAGGCAATAGCTTAGTTCATAATGAGACTTAGATTTCTCGGCTTTCCAGCTTCAACCCTCTTCCTACCCCCCTTACCCTCTAGAAAGTCTACATTAATATAGTTATTTATAAGTGGGTAAGACATGATAAGAAGAGTACTTAGGTTAGATGAAGAGGATGGCACGGTATACTACGGTCGCGACCCCGTTACTTAACTATTTTCTTGAATCAATTATAAATATGCGACTTTGTAGATTTTGTATGGGAAATGGAGTGACCCCTACTAGGGTGGCCCCAGTAACGGGGTCGCGACTCAACAATTCTCCTTTGTAAATCGTATCAGAGAAGTCATACACATTCAACATCACTACACTCTGAACATCCCAGACAACCATGTCGTATATTGTATAATACACTTCCAGTAACTTTAGTAATCGGGCTCTAGTGCAGATCGAGCTGGCTTTCATATTCTCCCCTGATTCTGATAGTCTTCGAAGCAATAGGACTGAATTCTTCCCAATGAGCGCTTGGTAAATTACTGGTAGGAATTGGCCACTAAGTATATAATACGTGGTATATGTCGCGCGATACTTGCGTGATTACCTCTCTTTTCCAGGACTTTTTATACATTGCAGTTATGTTTATCCTAGCAAGCTCAGACCAGGATTCACACTAGGTACCTATTATAGGTGTTTTTACCCCTGGCTTTACCGCTTTACCGTACCCCACGAACTTCGAATCTCTAACCTAGCAACAAACAAAACATTCAACTACAAATATCGACATTCATATTAACAACGCCCCTACGATATAGGATTATCTTATCATGGAAAATACAGAAACCATGGATGCCATGGATACCTCGTCGTTATCATCTGCCCCTCCATCTTCCCCTCCCCAGCTTCCTCAAGACCATCCGTTACATGACGAAAGCACAGCCGTACCGCCTCCCACGTCTGAGTTATCCGAGTTGTCTGACCTTCCCGACACTATACCAGATGTTTCTGACTCCGAAGAAGAGGATGACCTTGAGAGCGACCTTACACAAACCTGTGACCCGAGGTCAGAAAGGGTCGCGGCTGATACGCTGAGCTTTTGGCGGAGAAAGCGGAGCCGTGAGCGTACCTTCAAACGCTTTATGGAAGGATGGCTTTTAGGAAAGACAGCAGATAATAAGGCCTCAGGGGCAAGGCTACGTGAAATGGTTCGAGCATTTAAAGACCCAAAAATCCGAGAGCGCTTAGGGACGGTTGGTATCCGAATACAGTTCGTAGGTGAAGAGGATAAAGAAGAGGATAAAGGAGGGGATAAAGATATTGTTCCCGACCTCCGCGACGAGCTTTCTGCTTTGGTACTTCAACCCGCCTTTAGTAAACTCGAGCCCAAGTCATCCAATAAGCCAGGTGATACGCCCTGTGCCGTCAAAGATATCTACAACGCAGACTGGATTAATAGCGCTATCCAGTCCTCCTGGACTGAAATACAAGCCACGTCACCTAAGCTTAGTGCGTTTTTAACAACTATCCTCTCCAATCAACGAGCCGGCCAGAAGTCGTATCATGATGCCAAAATCGACACTACTTTCTCAAACGAGGCTAGGGCATATTTAATCGTTACGTTGTTCTTAGGCGCCTATGCGCCTAAACAGTCTAATTTCTTACCTTTATCTATGGGCATATATCTTCATAGCAATAAGGTGCCACGCCGAGTAATAGATACGTTGGCTCGGTTCGGTATATGCTCTGGGTATAAGAGTATTATGAGGCAGCTAGGTCAGAAGCCAGAGATCTCTGGTGACGCTAACAATGTGTCCGCCGCTGGCTCCGGCATCGGGGAGCACCAACCAGTCGATCTCTAGTAGTGGTCGCACCTCCTTTATAAGGTTCCGGCTATTAGGATTCTAGAGGGGATAGATATTTGGAAGAAGAAGGGGTACCCTCAGTACCTATGTATAGTAACTAGCCCATCATTGTATTTACTATAGTAGACATTTCCATAAGGGAAATTTTCGATAGACGGGTCTACAGCATATTCTCGCTAGAGGACGGTAAACTCACTCTGGCTTGTAGATTGGGACGTGGAGCTTGCGTCTATTAGTCTTAAGTAGAATAACAAGATCTTTATCGAGGTTAAAATAAATGACTTATTTAACCCCGCTGGAAGCATCTAAATTAAAGGTTACCGTGCTATTCAGGATAACTATATCATCAATAGCAGCAACCGTGGTAATTGTGATCTTATTAGTCTTAGGTCTCCGGATGGGACAGCAACCTCGGACTGGTCTAAGTAGCAAATGGTGAAAGCAGATGATAGGAAAATAACTTCGTTGTTATGCGAGGAACTATCAACCTATATCAGGTATTCCGTCTTAAGAGGCTGTCGCTGGCGCCGTATCCTTCCCGCGATGAATGATAAGTCGAGCAGCGGCTGAATACTGCGTGTACGACTACGGTGAGTTTCCCACGGGGCGCCGCATGCGTTTTACGGGAGCCATCGACGTGCTGCCTGGAAAAGCATCCGTCTCCTGCATTATATCAACTTCTGGTAACATCATCACCATGATCCGACGGTGCATAGGCGCTCATGACTCTAGGTTGAATATTTAGAATAATAAAGGTCATTACCGTAATGATGCTCCGAATAATACTAATTTTCCCACCTATAGAGTATGTCAACCCACAAGACGCTGCTAGTTATCTCCATAAATAGCAAGCCGACAGGTGGGAACTGCATAGTTGGGGTAGGCAACTAGGCCATTTGGTGAATGCTACCTCATAGTTCGACACGAAATTATGTCGATAAATAGTTGTCTTGGTATTACTCTATGGCATAAAACCTGATCATTTAGAAAATGAAAAAGCTTGGAATAATGCTGTTTCTTATATAGTGATATATAGCACTACATCTCTAGTAGAGATCTGTTAATATGAGATCTTTATTCCTTACTTTTGTTACCGGGGCTACGGCCTCGGCGTCGTATCTGGCGTGGACGGCGGACTCGTTTATCCAACATGGCGTAAAACCGACCCAAGGCTATAGCGAAGCAACTCTATATTCAGGGTACGAAGCCGCATACACGCTTACTCGGAACGAGACGTACGTAGAGTGGTACCGGGGGCAGATCGATGGCGCAGTTGTCCTAGAAAACGGCACAATCAAGGACTGGAAAAGCGAATTCTATTCTTTGGATAACTATCGGATCGGCAACAACATCTTATGGTGGTACGAGCGTACGGGGCTCGAAAAATATAAGAACGCTGCAGATGTCATCCGCGCGCAGTTAGATAGGCACCCGCGGACTGCTACCGGCGGCTTCTGGCATCGCCAGCCCAACTACCCTAACCAGATGTGGCTCGACGGCATCTTCATGGCAGATAGCTTCTACGGGAAGTGGACGCGCCTGTTTGACGCGGAGAACGAGACTGCATGGGACGATATCGCGCGCCAATTCGATAATATTGACGCACACACGCGGAATCAGACATCGAATCTCTTGGTTCACGGGTACGACGAGAGCAAGCAAGCAGTATGGGCAGACCCCGTGACGGGTGCCGCGCCGTTGGTATGGAATAGAGCTGTCGGTTGGTATTTCATGAGTCTGCTTGAAGTTATTCCTTTATTTCCACCGCGCCATCCTGGTCGCGAACGGCTCACCCGCTACTTCACGACGCTCGCGGCGGGTCTGAAGAAAGCGCAGGACGAGGATTCTGGTAACTGGTGGCTCATCATGAGCGAGCCGTACCCAGGAGCACCAGGGAACTACATCGAGAGTAGCGCTTCGGCCATGTTCACCTTTGGTTGGCTGAAGGGTATCCGGTTGGGCTTACTTGACGAGAACGAGTATCTCGAGCCGGCGCTCAAGGCGTACCATGGACTTATAGAGAAGTTCGTGAAAGCAGATGACGAGGGCACTCTGAATTGGGAGGGGACCGTAGAAGTTGGTTCCCTGGGCAGTAATGGAACTTACGAGGTGAGTTCTGATATTATTTACCTGCCTAAGTGTCTATGAGACTGGTGTATGTATGCTAATCGTGACTGGTGAAGTATTATATCTCGATACCCCTGGTTGAAAACGACCACAGGGGAGCTGGAGCTTTCATGCTTGCGGCTTATGAGATGGAAAGACGTTAGATGTTAATAACTATTCAATAGGTTGACGGCATGACTGCTAGGTTAGTTACATTAGTCTTATTCTAGAAACCTACACCATAACTGAAGGTATAGATAGTACTCGGAGGTATGTAATAAGACTTAATGGATAGAGAAGATCTTGTCGCGCAATATCATTGTTATCCCAATAAGAGGTAGGTACCTAATGGATTAATGGTTACCTCTAGTGTTTTTGTTTTCGAGCCGTCGCTGTGATGTACTTTCGGTAATTTGCTTTTTAAACTTCATAATAGCGTCTTCCCGGCCAAGTTACGTAGAAGGCAAGCATATCGTAGTTGTATATAAACTTCGAAACTTCGGCACGTCTGAAAGGACAGGGGTAAATCAAGGCATCCAGGTCTTGCGTGCACCAAGCCTGAAGGATTTCTGGCTCGATGCTACGCTGCCGGTGCCAGAGTTGAAAACCCAAGTTATTCGCGCGCAGGGGTTGAAAAGGAAAAGGAAAAGGAAAAGAAAATGATATGGTCGTGCTAACAGTCGGTACTATGTAAGTTAATATCGTATCGCAGAGCTAAATACCTAAATTCTTGAGCTGGGAGATTCGCTGTCTACTAGACGGTGTCTTAGGTGTATGAAAAGAAGAAAAGAAAACTGGAGACGCGACCGGAGATATCCGATCATGAAGACCCACCAATGGTTGTGGGGAAAGGGCCCATACGGTAGATCATGTACCTAAGTACCTAAGTACCTAGGTACCTAGCATACATGTAGCGTTTGTAAATCTTGACAACTTCAATAATGGAAACTTCTTCAGTCAATCTTCAGCTGCAAGAATGTATTAAATTAGGTGGTCATTAAACACATACAATGTTCAGGCATCCTTCTCCTCATCGGCATCATCATCACTAATCGTACTAGTGCCTCCTCCTTGTGCCTCGGCGACAACTTGTGTCTTCACCACCTTTCCCTCAGGCGTCACATAAATATTTGCGACGGCGTCCAGACCCGGAAAGGGTTTGTATTCATAAGATAGCTCGTATTCCGTTTTTCCATAAATGGTGATAGTTCGATTATGACCGGTAAATGTCATATCTCTGCTATAGTAGCCTACTACCTGGCGGCTGTGCTCGTCACCGTTGTTGTCGAGCAAGGAATCATAGATGCTACCGCTCTGTGCCAGAATACGGTTAGTGTGTGTCTGACCGGAATAGTCGTTGACAGAGTAGAGGATATTGTAGGCTAGGTTATAATCGAGTATGTCTCGCTTGGAGTTGGTTGCGGCGGCCGTACTTCGAGCAGAACATGACCTATACCGGCGCGCAGAAAATCTTGGACGGCGGCCTCATCCAGAAGACATACAAATACGACCCGTTATCTGCGCTCGTTGGTATCGTGTTCAATGCTGCTGGGCAAGTAGTCCAGGCTGTTGTTTTGAAGGGCAACGGGGGCAGTGGGGGTAGTAGTACATCGACCACTACGGCTGCACCTACAGGCGGAGCCAGGAGATGATCTGAGTAAGATATTAACTAATATATCATAGTAATGGAAGAAATATTGTAGTTATACGTTATACTATAACTTTTTCAAGTATTTACTGTGCTAGCTAAGCGATTGTGTGGTTACCTGCTATAATATGCTAGGTCGTTAACCCCTATGCGAGGTATGATATTACCCCTTATCAATATGCAAGTACGTTTTCATCTACGAAGGCTGGGACTAAAAGTCTTGGACGTATAGCACCGTATTAAAACGACTTCTAATTCTTCGACGCTGTATCAACTACCTACTAAGCTAAAGGTCAGATGGTGGCCTGTACACTTGACCTGGGTAGCTCGTCACTAGATATGCGAGACATTTGGTCCCAACCTTCGCTATAGATAGAATCTGGTAAAGCTAATGTACCTAAGGTCTAATATTATTCCTATACTACGTCTATGGCTCGGCTTCAACAACTTCAAGAACTTTATGGTCCACCCATGCGGCGATTGTCCGCTCGGCAAAGACGTCCACAGTAGTTTTAGGTTGTAAAATATACCCGCAGACGGGCCATACCAAATTCGTCAAGTACGACTTTTTATACTCAATCATCAGCTCCTCGTCATTCCTGTCAAGCTTTGGTCCACCCAGACTGTGCAGAGTTGACAGGTAGTAATCCAATATTTCCATCTCATGGGTCCGCCGATCCTCGACAGTCATCATAGTTGACACAAAGTACACAAGATCGTGGAAGCACGAGGCAAAATGAAACGCCGACCAGTCTAAGAAGCGTATGTGCCCATCAGCCGTGAAATAGGTATTTCCCATGTGCGTATCGCCGTGGAGTAGCGTGCGGAACTTGGGATTCCTTCGGGAATAGTACTTCTTCTGTGCTTTTCTAACACGTGCGCCGTCCATTAGATACTCCGGTAGCTTGGGTCGCCCAGGCTCTCGCACGACGCTGTCCCAGGTCTCCGTAATGGCCAACATAGCCGGGTCGTAATTGTTATCAATCCCTTGATATTCGTCAGTTATTTCATGCGTCAATCCGAGCCCTCGAAGCCGCTCGGCATTACACTTACAAGGATAGTCCTCCTGACTCTTGCCCCAGAACTGGGCATGCAATCCAGCTATCTGGTAAACACCTTCAAGCACCGTTTCGAGAGGGTAGGACCCAGCCTCGGATGGAAACGTGCACCCTTCATGCACTAAATCTGACATGATGGCGATACCTTGCTGGTCGCTTCTTCCTCCCCACCAGCCCCTTGGATACCTCATATGCTTGATAGCCGGCGCAATCTTCGCGAAGAAATCAGCTTCGCGCTGCGCTAGACTCAGAGTCCACGACTGAGATTTAAGCATGACAGGATCAAACACCCCCTTAACACAGACGTGCGACGGCCGTGAGCTTGGGTCGGCTACTTCATTTTCGTACTCGATGAAGTAGAATAGTTTGGTACCCGTGCCGAATTTGGTCCGTGTCAACGAAACTGACTTGACCTTGTGTCCCAATTTAGACCCCAGCCACTGAGCTGCAACATCGTCAGGAAGTAAAGGGAGCTTTTCGGTAGACATCTCACTCTCATGTGCCATATTTACAGTCCTTGACGAGAGAAAAGGAGAAATCTGAAGGGGTACTAATTACAAGATGCATCCGATATAAATATGAGTGAGTTACAAGTTCGAACGAAATACACTCCGGCTGGGGTCGGTGATTGTCGACTACTCGACCCATAATGGCTTGAATCAGCGGTGTAAGCAACTAGGTTAGGCTTTAACCCGACTCATATTCATATAGGTAGGTGCATCAAAAACTACCTAATTTTTGACATATTTAGGTAGGGTTATGGAAGGGGAGCGCGATCAATACTGGCCCCGCTTGTAAGCATGATTCTACACACTTCGAATTATAGTGCTTACTTGATCTCAACTAAGCCTATCATCATTTAAATATAGGACATGATTCTAGAAGGGCGGTAATATAGTCATTTCATTACGTAACAATATTTCTTAGTGTTCTCGGGTAAATTATTTCTCGCCCTTATGAGGATATGTTTCTCATCTCAAACTTCATACTATCATCTTAGGGGGGTGGTGGTGTGTCAGCATCTATTCTATTAGGGAGTTCATTCCTCATTTCACTACCACACACCTTTTCTGTCTCATCAAGGGACTATCCAAGGTTATACTATCCAAAAGGCTACTCAGGACTCACCCAGGATACTATTAGGGATTGGCGAGAGTGGCGTTAAGAGCCTATTACAGGAGAGGAGGTTATCCAAGAGACTACCCAAGAGACTATCGGGAGATTATCCGAGAGATTATACACAAGATCATCCAGAAGAATATTTAAGAGGTTATTTCAAGAGATCATATAAGGGGTTACCAGTGAAAGAAAGATTATATGAGGGAGATCTGTTACCTATCGAGAAGCCTTAGGCACCTAGCTACTTAGCTGAGATATAATTCAGTTTGTGTCTAAATAATTGGCCTTGATGTTCCACAATTCGAAGTTCGTACGAAGAGGCTTTGGTTTATCGTCTTGATCCGTACTAATACCCAAGTAGGACTACGACTTAAATAGGGGGAACACGACAAGTCTAAGGTGAACTCGCTTTCTAAGAAGACTGTTTTCATCTTTGTTTATAAAGCCTTGGGGTTGTCTTATGGCAGGCCTCCTGACACTATTTTATTTCGTCTCCTGTTTGTGCTACCGGGACAAATCTCACCTTTAGCTCTGGCTTGACTAGAAAACCATAATGAAGTAAAGTTCTCTCTAAGTCGAATTGCTGTCCTGGTAATTTGGCCATATCAAACGTCTATAACACTTTAGCCACGAATAACTTCACTTGCATCCACGTCATTTCCCCAAGTCTTTGCTACGGTTCTGAGAGGGGTGGAAGTAGAGTAGGTATAGGCATCGTGTTGTTGCGTAGATAGAAATCTAGCTGAGAATGGACTAAGGGGTAGCGAGACATACGATGCCAAGAACTACACCTATGAGAGACTGGGCTGCAAACCAGTCGTAAAGGATGGGGTAAAGAGCCATCATCCGTAATGGGCTTGAGGTTGCTATGAGGACGTCTCGGGATAGTTGCTAAGTTGAATACTTAATGGCTTGGTTATTAACTAGACGTAAGAATTCGCTAGAGCTCTATAGTATATGGAATATGCATATACTCATATTGGTCCAGGAGAGTTGCATGTGACACTCCATTGTCGAATACGCAAGTCTACCAAAGCTATAAACTGCCTGATTCCAAACACAACTATACTAAAGTATGGGACTAGTATACGCTCTATGCTCTACCTTAAATGCGGTTTAACAGGAAGAGAATATTGTTAACTAGTGGCATATCCCAAGTAGTAACATCTTATCAGTAGAAAGGTATTGTTCAAAGCGTCATATTAGTCAGCTAGTTAAGCTAGCCAATAATACTCGGTGGGTCCAAATATGATTCATAGTTGTTCATTCTCAAGTCACTTCTCGTCTTGTCTTGATCATATATATCATCAGCACAATGGAGGTTTTGCGCCTACACGAAAACCTATACGAAAACCGCCTCGCTATGGCTAGATGTAGAATAGTATGCCGAAAGGCCGGCTGTAAATCAATCTGTTTATTTAATTTTCTGTCGCGCTCTCCTATGATAGAGTTGACTTGAACATTCGTATATTAATCTTGCCAACAACGATCACGATACTCCATTACGATACTCAATTTGACAAGCTTTGAAACTAACAGCGCCACGCGCATAAAAGGACTAATAGTCAGCATGGTGGACACAACAACAACGAGCACAACGACAACGAACACAAGCTCTGTGTCAGATCAGCAGCCCCTAAATATTGCGAAATCCCCTTCCTTCTGTAGACTCTGTAACGCAGAATTGAGTGACCAACAAACGTGGAAAGCCCATCTCAAAAGCGATGAGCAGTAAGTCAATCCTCACACCGTGCCTAAAAACTATTAACCTAATACTTCGATCGCAGTGTTTACAAGCTTCGATTAAAAGTAGCAGAGCCCGGCAGTGTTACATCCCCGCCGCCACCCCCTTCAACAGACGCCGGTCAACCGAAAAGCATAGCGCCTTCGCGCGCTCGAAGGAGATATGAACCTGATGTTGGTGCTGACCAAGACCAAGACCAAGATCAAGATGTTGCTAGCGACACGGAAGACGAAACAGACGATGAACTGGAAGACGAACTAGAAGAACCATCGGCACTAGATTTCGATCCTGGCAGTTGTCTCTTCTGCGCGCAAGAGTCCGACATATTAGACGACAACATGACACACATGGCCGCCGCACATGGCTTCAACGTACCATTCCAAGAATTCCTAGCCGTCGATCTCGAGACGGTCGTCGAGTACCTACATTTTGTCATCTTCGGCTACCGAGAATGCATATGCTGCGGCACGCGGCGGAGTACCGTCGAGGGCGTCCAGCAGCACATGGTGGCCAAGGGCTATTGCCGATTTGACATATCCATAGAGACCGATGAATTCTACGAAATGCCACAATCCGAAAACGCCGTGGTCGAGCAGGCGCAACACGACGGTTGCATGCCGATGCGCTTACCATCGGGAAAGCTCATCTCGCATCGGAAGAATCCCGAGAACCAAGATCCTCAAGCCAAGCCCCGACCCGCCCGCCGAGAAACACCAGACCGACATCCAAACCGTCCTCTAGACTCATTTGCCCCACACACGGGGACTTCCCCGACTCCCAGTCTCGAGGTTGCCCAACGGGGAGGGAGCGGAAGCGGTGAAATCGTGCGTAGTAGTGAGGCTATACTTGCCGCGCAGCTGTCCAAGCTGAGAATAGCGGGCGATAGAATACAGCACAAGGAAGAGAAGCGGAAGCGATGGAGGCTGGAACGAGCGCAGAACATCATTTCGCTCAAGCGTTTCAAGCTAGATAGTGCTGATGGTCGGATGGGTCGCCAGTTCTAGGGCGAAGCTAGCTTTCCTATTCACGCCTAGCCAGGACCGATTTTAGGTGTTGGCGGTAGTGTTGGTCCAGTGCCAGGAGGACTTGGAACTTTTGATTATAGCTTAATCGCTTCAATTGAACTGGTGTAACACCTTTCTACGTCTATACTGTATTCTTGATCCTAATGTGACGCTAGTTAGCTAGCGAGAATAGAGAAACGATTGCTTAAAATATGTTCAACTTGAAGGTTTGAATTGCGCTCCTTGGTAATACTCCATGTCATGCGAAAGGGTATACTGATGTCGAACTCCTAGGTACATTAGATACCTACGTGTATGGGGCCAATTGTAAGTCCTTATCTATAATAATTGCCACTCCCAGAAAATGCAATGCCCTCATTGCATGGTAACGATGATTTGTTTAAACAATATGATCGTCTTTGACAAAAAGGCGACGTGATAGCTTCGTCAAAAAACCATAATTAATCCAAGTCCTATTTCTTCGTCTATAATCTGCTAGAAGCTCTTCCAAGTCTTCTCCTATTTCTCTCGCAGATAACCATCTCGTATACTCGTCGCTAAGGCCGATATACTCTATAATATATTTATTCCTATTCGCATCTTCGTTAATGATTTTTCGATGGTGCGTTTCCAATGATATTTCTATATATGCGTTTAAGCATCATAGCTTCCCACACAAGGCCAAACTCCCTGGTCGAGTTGCCATACCACAACTCGGCCACACAAACATATAACTTCCATCTCTCTCATCTCAATCGCATCCATATATATCTCAGCAGAAGAAGGTCTTCCTCGATGGGAAACCGCGCAGGTTCGAATCCTGCAGCTCTCACCATGTGGAATGATAGGTACCCCACTTCCAATTGGGACCAAAAAATTATTTTGTTAACTACAAAGTCTATGATTTCGTCAAGGTGCGTGTGGTGTTGTGCCTCCGCATGTTGTCCAGAACGTTGACCAGAATTCAGATAGGAATTTGGGATCTTTGTCCAAGATGATGATCTTAGGCAATCTCCATCCAACGTTAAGTACCTAATTTGTGAGGACTTGTATGATGTGAAACTTGATGAATTGAAAAGGAAGAGAGAAGATCTCTCTCGTCGGCTATTCTACCTAATGATATGAATAGCGTACAGATAAGATAAGTGTGGTAGCTTATCTAATAGCTTATGTAAGCTTATGTAATAATGATGTCTATCATATGCCCCCTCACAAAAAATTCCCAACGTCCTCGTTGGTTTTTAATTCATTTTGTAAGTCCATCGCATTCATTCAATCCATCGCTAATCCATCGCATTCCAAAGCTATCCTTTCGTCGAGTCCCATCAGGGTGAGAGTGTGTTGGATTGTCGTGGAAAGATTCGTGAATATTTCTTGGGTGTGTTTGCAGGTGTCGTCTGCATTTTCGCATCCTCCGCCTCATTCTCTTCGATCGTGGACTCGTAACTTCTAAACTTTTTCGGAGGTGGCTTTGATTTCTTTGATGTAGTTGTTGATGCGATCGATGCTCTTTTTCTTTTCGATCCTTCGAGGTTGTGTATTGCTTGCTTTAAGGTAAGTAAGAAGTGATGACGACCAAGCAGTTTTGCGTCTTGCCTAGGACGGCCGTCGTTATTAAGCGTCGACGAGAACGCAGGCCGAGGATAAGTCGTGCCGGGCAATACCGGTGGCGGAAGATAGATAATGTTCCTCTAACATACCGCTGCTCAGCTCGTAGGCCTCGCAGCCAAGATGCTTGTTAGAGAGCGATGAATTGTTCGTGTTAAGTTATAAATAATTTAGACGTGTAGTGAAAGTAATTAAAATGATTAAAATGTGTGTGGGAAATGAAGATGTCTGCCCGTGTTGGGATTCTAATAAATCTTCCAGCTGTCTGTTGCTACTGCCGGCGCGGTCAATAATGTTCTTGCTTCACCTCGCAATGGCCTGTTCGTCGCAAATGCCAATACTTCTCGCATGTATGCCTTGTGCCTACCTCGTAATAACCTGCTTGGTAGAACAAGGTTTAAAATGGATTGTAACTACTAGAAAAAGTAGAATTGTATGTCTGTACCTACCTAAGGTAAGGTATAGCACTTGCTCACTGTGGCTATACCTACCTCCTTGCAATAGAAGTCATTCGATAGGCCGTCGCGTGATTCCCTAAACATTAGCATCTACATCATTGCGCGGGTTTTACTATAATGCATGTCGTTTGGCACCTACCTTACGAGGCGTTAAGATTACAAGTTTACGTAACTACCTACACATGTAAGAAGGTTAGCTATTGTCTTATATAAGGTATATTAGAGAACTTACTCCTTCCGAGTCAGCCAAAGTGCCTCAATATCTCAGGGGCTATTATACTGATGAGGCCTACTTACTACTTATTGGCGTCATCAGATAAGTAAGGGTATTCTTGACTACCTGATCTATTTAAATTCAACGTACTAAGGCAGGTGCAATAGCCGTACTTATTATACAAGCAACGGCCACCTACTATCGACGGTAACAGTATCTTATCTCTGTAAACATTATGTATCTCCTCGCAACAGTATAACGCTGACGATTACCTAATATTTAAAAGGGAGGCCTTTAAATTCAACAAGATAATCGTTTAATTACATATACTCGCCAATATTATATACGGGTGACCAATGGTGTATGTATTCTCACAGGAAGGATGGGAAGTAACATTAACATTATTCTATATAATTCTAGTATAGCTCTGTTAACAGACTTTCCGAATTGATAGTATAGTACATTCCAACATCCTAGAGTTATACTGCACTCTTAAGACCTCCTACCCGTATAGGTACCTAGTTATGTACTTTAAATGTATATCACAATAAACGAACCATGCGATTGAACTTAAGAGGTATAACTTAGAACTGATTGACTGTCATAGAAAATCTAACAAATAAAATAAAAAATCTGCCATAAAACCCTTCCCATATTGTAACCTTTAACTCCTATATCTCGGTCCTCATATACAAGTTCACCCAATCTGACAATAAGAAAATCTTTATTCTTTCGTACACATTTCTCGTTATTTGCACCACTCCCTTAGCTCTCAGCCTCTTTAAGCTAGAGCGCCATCCACAATCATTCCTGCCAAGTCCTTCATGGATGTCCTGGTATCTAGCAGGTCGAGCATGCTAATGTCGGCTCCGAAAGCAGTGTTAAACCAGTTGCGTAGCTCTGCTGCGATCAAGCTGTCTACACCGTAGTCGGCAACAGTGCGGTTTGCGTCCACTCCCGACACGTCGATAAATAAGACTTGCGCAACTGTTGCTACGACGGCAGACGTGACCAAGGCTTGAGTCTTGTTGCGCTCCTCGGGGCCCTTCGCGATAGCCTCTTCGAAGCTTTGTCGGAGCTCTGCGGTGGCCGAGTTGCCGTGACCCTTGTTCTTGCCTTGCGTGCCGTCGTCGTCATGATGTCTCTGCGCATCTTCAAATGCTCGCATCACCTGTGCCACTCGCGCATCGCTGTACCAGCGGGGAGTAGGGCCGACGTTGCCGTTGTTAGCAGCCATCTCCTCTAGTCTCTTATCCGCCATCTCGCGGGGGTCAAGGCAGGTGATAATGGTAGAGCCCGATAGAGGGTCTTCTTGAATGCCATTCCAAGACTCGGCCTCTCCGTCAATCTTGTTGTTGAGGAAGGCAATCTCGAGGTACTTCAGGAACTCGTGTTCAGTCACGCCGAGAGCCTTGTTACGCGCCATCAGGTTGAGAGTAGTAGTGCTCGTGCTGAGGAATCCCACGTCCGTAATAAGACCGAAAGAAGCAGTGGAAGCGGGGAGGCCTTGGCTTCTACGGTGTCGTGCGAACATCTCTTGGAAGTTGTTGGCAGCCGTGTAAGCGCTCTGGGTAGCAAGAGCTAGGACGGATTCTAGGGAGGTGGTCATGACGAAGAAGTCAAGAGGCAACGACTTGGTAGCCTCGTGTAGGTTGCGGGTTCCGTGAACCTTGGCGGCGAGACCTGAAGTCCACTGCTCCGTGCTAAGCTTATCGAATGATAGATCCTGGTAGGAAACGGCAGCGTGCACAACACCCTTGATAGTCTTGTCTTGAGAGTATTTCACGAAGACGCGGCGGACATCGTCGGCTTTGCTGACGTCGCATCGCACCGAGCTCACCTTGATACCGCGAGTGTCTAGCTGGGCCACAAGAGCCTGGGCTTCACTGGACTGGGTTCCGCTCCTAGAAAGGATGACAAAGTCGCAAGCACCGCGCTCAACCATCCATCGGACGATGCTCCTTCCAAGACCTCCGAGACCACCAGTGATGATGTATCGCGCCTCGGGATCGAACTTGGCACGAGGGACAGGCGGTACCATCTTGACGAGGGCGTCGGGGTTCTGGAAGGTGACAACCAGCTTACCGATATGGGTACCCTTAGAGAAACCGAGGAGGACTTGGTCGAGCTGGGACACGTCTGAGGATGTGACAGGCTTGATAGGTCCGATGTGTCCAGCGCGGTAGTGCTTGTCAACAGATTCCATCAGTAGACGGGCCATCTCGGCACTGGCATCCATGACGACACCCAAGTCGAAAGACGAGAAAGTGGCGCTCTTCTGGAAAAGCTCCAGAGCCATGGTCATCGAGTTCTGTACGTCGACACGTCCCACATCTACATACCTTCCTAGAGGTGCGATAAGCTTGAGCGACTCGTGTAGCATGTCTCCAGTTGAAGTGCCGAGGATTACGTCGAATCCCTTGCCGCCGCTAGCTTCGATGAGTCTGGGAATATCCTTAGGGTCGCGCGAAGAGAAGATGTGCGACGCGGGGATTCCTGCCTTCTCTGTTAGGTAGCGGGCCTTGTCGGCGGTACCAGCCGTAGCAAAAATTTGGGCTCCCTTGGAGCGGGCTAGCTGGATAGCGCAAAGACCTAGACCACCGGTGGCTGACTGGATGAGAACCTTCTCGTTCTTCTTGAGCTGGGTAGCGTGCTCGAATGCGTATATAGCAGTCATATAGACTAGAGGCATCGTGGCTACCCCAACAAAGTCGTCTCCCGCTTGCATTCGCTGAGCGTGCCTAGCTGGCGTGCGTACGTAGTTGCCAAAGTGGCCCTTACCCATACCGTAGACCTTGTCGCCAGGGCGGAAGTCGACGACGTCAGCGCCTACCTTGTCAACAACTCCCGAGAATTCTGAAGAGAAGTTGTTCATGTCGAAGCGACCTGCCGAGATGGCAAGGTCCTTCCAGTTAAGGCCGACAGCGGCAACCTTAACTTGAATCCAGTCCTCGGGAAGAGGCTTCCACATCTCCTCG